TCCGTCTCTGACTCGAGGAGGGCAGTCGCCAGGTGGCGTACCGGCAGTTTGAGCGTGTGAAGTTCGTAGTGGCGAAGAATAGGCGGTGGTCGGAACTAAGAGTTAACAACCGTTCCCTATTTTCCGAGCGACAGGAATCTAGTCCGATAGGACCACCCAGATGCGCCTCACTCGAAGTCAGTTGGCCTATTCTAGCATTCATGTCTTCTGCTTAAATCACGAAATCCGCCCGACTCGCTTCACATAAGAGGTTGTTTAGGTTGTGGTAAAATTCATCCTTTTCGTCTTTTTCACTTAGCCGCATTTAATGTCTGCACACTCTGCCAGATCAGTGAACAAGCTACCTTAGCTAGAACCCTTGTTCTTAATACTGGGCAGCTAGATGCCGACCAATTCGTTTATAGCAAACGACGTTCTACCCTAAATGCTCTTGCGCATTTGGTAAATTCAGTTTTGCTATCCCTAGACATGCACGGCAGGGCATTTCGTGTGTGTTTCTTCGACTATAGTAACTCTTTTAACTGTGTTGACAGAAGCAGGCTTTTGTCTCTACTCCAAGATTATTTTGCTGGTAGAACATAGTTCACGAAGTTTTCTGGAAAACCCTTGTCTCCCTACCAGTCAACTCAGGGGTGCTCCAGGGAGCAATTCTGTCCACCTTTCTTTTCTCTTTCTATATTCGTGACCTTCCCTATTACCCTGATGATTTTCGTATTAAGTATGTTGATGATGTCACAATAGGTTCCAAATTACAAGGTGATTTCCGCTTCTCACATCTTCAACCCAGTTTATCTGCCTTAAAATTATGGTCTTCGTCTTCCAAGTTATCTATCAATGCATCTAAATGTAGCGATGCCACCTTCTCACCCGCCAAAGGAGAACAACTACATATTTTGAAAGAATCGTTCTGCATTCTATGTTGACAACCAGCCTGTTCCTTCAATAAACTCTCTACAATACCTCGGTGTCACTATCTGCTAAGATCTCACCTGGACCTCACATATAAATTCTACTTTTGTAAAGATTCGACGGTTGTGTTTCTGTATTTCCCGCTTGCGTTCTTTGAAAGTTCCACTGTATTTACTCACTCGATTGGTATATTCTTGTGTTGTTACTCATCTTCTCTACTGCTCCCCAGTTTTATTTACCGGTCTTAGAGCTAAAGATTATACAATTCTACGCCGGTCTATCAAAATTATTTCTCGCACAAGCGGTATTCCTTATCTGCAGTTGCTTAACTTTATCGCCGATAAACATTTTACCTCTTGCGATAACTTCTGCAATCATATTCTATCAGACACCATTCATCCATTACACACAGAACTTGAACAATGCATATCCACTTCTGTAACTAGATGTCGTTATAAACTGGTGTATGC